ACGAGATCTATGTTTCTGCTTCCCTGAGTGTCCGAGACAAGGCGAGTGACCCATCAAACTGTTCGTCTGCTCATTGGCCATCTGACGAGGTGTCCGGTTTTTATGTACGTCTCTCATATTACAAGATATGAGACATAGGGGAAAAATGGATTTACCAGAAGTTATCTGATTCTGTCACCTACACAGAGTTAGGTTTTATGAGGTTAGAATCTCTTTCAACTCCTAAGAAAGCTTGCCTTATCTCTTAGGAGGTGTTACAATTGGCAGGTTCTGTGGACAGAGAGACTCCAACTCTTTTGGGGGCTTTTACAGCTCCTATGACCCTCATGTGACATTCCTAACTCACACATACTGGCCACATGTCGCTGGGCCTCTCAGGAAGGGAGGGGGGAAGGAGAATAAGGGAGAAATGGATACTCTTAACAAAATGGAGTGTGGTCCTTCACTGTGTGTTGCGCACGTTTGCGACACTCGTCTCCTCTGAAGTTTCAACAAGGTAGAGATTTAAGGGTGGGGGATGGCTGGAGATATGACATGTTTTTCCAGCTGACATGGTATTGGGGCTATTTAGGCTTCCAGAGCAGGAGGTATCGGCAGCTAGGATGCACACAGGTGAGTGTCATAGTTAAGCAGCATAGCTGGGTCACATGGGCAGTGTTCACCTTTGCCAGATGCACCCAGTGGTTCTTAGTCCAGCAAGACTAAGTAGATGGTAGTAAATGGTGTAACAAGTAAAGCAAGAAGAATTCTGATCAAAGAGACAGAGAGGGTAAGGGCATCTCGACTGACTGGCCTAACAGAATTACAAATATGTTTTTAGGTAAAACTTTTAACATCTCAGTTTGACTATGTATTTAGTTGTTTGCCTGAAGTTCATTTTAATAAATGAAGACAGACATAAAAAATACTAAATATCTATAATAACCAATTTATTATTTTCCTTCAGCAGAGAAGATCATGGGTGGCTAATGCATTATTATTTCTTTCTTACACAAGTATGTATGGAATTGTATAGGTCATGCTGCTTATCTCACAGTAAAAAAAAGTGTATTGGCTGGACAATCCTAAATCTCAAGCATTCCAGATGGCCTTTTTATTTTATTAGCTCCAGGAATAAACATAATATCGCAAAGAGCAGTTACCGAGTTTATATTTCATAGGTATATTCTGCAAATAAAGATATTTTGCCCTAAAGATTTTATGATGAGATGGTGGTTCCATTTTCAGGCCAACACACTGTGTTATTTCTTATACCAACACAAAGTCACTTTAGTATATTCAGCCACAAATATTGTTCATGTTGTTGACTGGAAATTGAAAAAAGTCAGACAGAGGATGTAATTGCAGAAGGGAGCAGCCTTCAATCTATTATTACAAAAGCATAAAAGGCACAAGGAAAAGGGAGATAGTTGTGAAATTCTATGTCAGCCAAACAAAGGCAAACTGTATGGATCAATATATAGATAATAGAACAGGGAGAAGAATATTGGCTCTGGTAAGAAATGGGTTACAGAGGAAAGATAAAGCTGTCCAAGTTTCAAAATAATCCAATCAATACAATCTGCTTGCTTTGAAATATCAGAGAAAGCAGACAACCTAGTATACGCTGCTTTAATGTTGGACTTGGTGTTTCAATTCACATGGTAGAAATTGGTAGCTTTGTTTGTTTATACAGTGTGTGGTCAAATAGCCCAAATTGGTCAAATACCCAATTGTTTGGATGGAAGGGAAATGTACATGTTTCATACCTTTTAATAAATCCCATCTCATTTATTAAAAGGTCTGAAACATGAAATGTCTGTGCTATTATTGTCAACCAATAATATGTTTTAGTTTAGCATTGCGTTTAGGTATATTTAGGTATAGTAACGGGAAGAATTTGAGTGCTGGGTACACTCCAGACACATTGCTTCACACAATTTGATAACAAATGTGGTCTGTTGCTGGCACTGCTTATGTAACTGAATTTGATTTTTAGAATTCTGCATGATATTCAAAATTCAAAATGTAATTTTTCACTTGGTAAGTGATTCCTAGTGATTTTCCAGATTTCTTGTTCGCTTACTACTACTTGTAGTACAGTGTACTGTGCCTACATACTACACTTAACCCAGTCTGTATCATTGTAGGCAGGGGGATTAAAAATAAATTTGGGCCTTGTGCAAGTGTCAAACTGGAGCCCCATTCATTGGATTACTGCAGGCCCTGACACAAACCAATTCATTATTATTATTATTATTATTATTATACAGTATTTATAAAGCGCCAATAGTTCGCTCAGCGCTGTACATTACAAAGGGAGACAGAACATGTGACAGAACAATACCAATACAATGCAAAAAACATGAGGGGATCGAGGGCCCTGCTCTTTCGAGCTTACAATCTAGGAGGGAGGGGGTGGTGGCACAGGAGGAGATAGCTGTGGGGGATGGAGTGGTTGGAAGAGTGGAGGAGGTCGGCAAGTTAGCAGGGGGTGGGGTAGGCTTCCCTGAAGAGATGGGTTTTCAGGGTGCGCCTAAAGGAGAGGAGAGTAGGTGATAATCTGATGGGTTGGGGCAGGGAGTTCCAGAGGATGGGTGACACCCTGGAGAAGTCCTGGAGGCGGGCATGGGAGGAGGAGACCAGGGAACTAGAGAGAAGGAGGTCTTGTGAGGAGCGGAGTGTGCGTGTTGGCGGTACTTGGATATTAGGTCAGAGATGTAGTACGGGGCAGTATGGTGGACAGCTTTGTACGTCAGCGTTAGGATTTTGAATTTGATCCGTTGCGCAATCGGAAGCCAGTGGAGGGATTGGCAGAGGGGGGTGGCGGAGACAGAGCGGTTGGAAAGGTGAATGAGTCTGGCAGCCGTGTTCAGGATGGACTGAAAGGGGATAGCCAGCGGCGAGGCAGGCCAGTGAGGAGGGAGTTTGCAGTAGTCGAGTCGTGATATGATGAGGGAGTGGATGAGCTGTTTAGTGGTTTCTGGGGTTAGGAACGGATTTTGGCGATGTTGCGGAGGTGGAGTCTGCACGAGTTTGTTAAAGATTGGACTTGGGGCTGGAAGGATAGGTTGGAGTCCAGAATGACACCCAGTACTCTGGCCTGCGGGGCGGGTTTGATGGTAGCGTTGTTGGATGTGATGGAGAAATCAATGGGGGGTGGTGTCCGGGCTGGGGGGAAGACAAGAAACTCGGTTTTTGTACACAAAAACATACACTGAGCCTTGCATTCTACTATTATAAACATACACGCGTTCCTGAACTACACACACAAGCAATACACGGAATCCCTAGATTGTACAAACAGGCCTGCATTATGCACATGAACATACACACAGTTCTGCACTGTACATACAAATATGCACACATGTACAGTATACACAAACGCACACACAATCAAATATTTACACACAAACATACACACAGTTCTGTACTGTACACCAAAATGTAGCCTGGCCAGTGGCTCTGTTGTGTACCACCGCATGGCCCAGGCTTCTGGTAAGCCACTCACAGTGCTGTCAACTTTCTCTCACCTGATGCAATGTGATTATTTGGTTCTGCAAGTAGAGAGGGAGGACACTATATAGGGAGAGAAGGAACTGTGATTGACTGCAGTCACAGCCAAGGAGGAGGAGAGTCCTATCATTACCTTAAAGAGCTGCAGGGGCATATGGGGGATGTGTTCCCCAGAGTGAGGACCCTGACTCAGAGACTTTGTCGAACTACAAGTTTCAGGAGAACTATACTCTAAGTAGGGAAATGAAGATTGGAAAACCTCGCTGTAGACAGTCTCAGATAGTGATTGAGAGGGGGCTGCCATGGTGTGGGTGCTGTTGGTGTCACCTAGAGACCCTGGAGTTGTGCTGTTTTGCTGTAAGGAGACTGAATCACTGCACCTATCCAGAGATCCCTGCTGCAATAAGGAATGCTGTGTGTGCACAGAAAATCGTGTTCTGGAGTGAAGGGACCCACAAGGCTCTGGCTGGAGCATGTGTTCCAAGGTTGGTGAGATCTGTTTTCCTGTTACTTTGCCTCTGTGGGGTCCTGCTGAAGTTGTGGTGTCGAGATCCCCATTGCAGTGGCACCACAAGACTCAGCATGCAGAGAGAGACAGGGTACCCAGAACATCTGTATCTTCATTTGAAGTCGCTGTTGTCCTGTTCAGGACAGGTGGCATCACGATCAAGGAGAGTGAGGATGAAGATAGAAGGAATTTGCTAAAATAGCCTGACCCCCTCAATAAATTGCTAAAAGTGAAGAAGATGACTAAACATTACCAAGGCAGGTCTGTTGAGTCAAAGGGCATAGAAAGTCTCGAGAATCAATACAAGATGACTAGTCTGATCAGTGTGAGCACCTAAGGAGTTTTCCCAATGCCCTTGTTCTGGCCTACTCTGACCCACCTTGATCCTATGACCTACATGTCAACACCAGCTAAGATGGAATAGGTACAGTATGGTATCAGGAACATAACAGACACCTATGACCTGTCGCCTATGTGGGCAGGAACCTTCCCCACTGAAAAAAAAATTATCCTACTCACAAGCTGAAATTCAGTAGTGCATAAGTTGAAGAATTATCTGTATTATCTTGCATCTTCAATATGAAGACAGATAGTAATCTGCTCATGTACATGCTGACCAAAGCCAAGGTGAACAGCCGCAGGGCATTAGCGGTTAGCTGTCCTATTTGATTTCCTCTTCAGCTTGAAATACAGTTTTGGAGTCAGAAATAGGGATGCTGATGCTCTGTTTTAGAGACCGTATGATCCCAAGGATCCCAAGCAGAATGGGTAGGAGGTAGGAAGGAGTTCAAGCCTTATGTCAAGTGGTTGAGCACTGAGTCAAGGGAGAGACATTGGCTGAAGCCATTGGAGTCACTGTTGCAGGTGTTGCTAAACTCTACTGCAGCCTCATGCAAGTTAGAGATGGAGGCCTGCCTACTCTGTCCAAGAAGGAATTACAGAAAGACCAAGTGGGAGACCCTCTCTGTAGGGGCGGACTGACCATTTGACAATCTCCCAGGGGCGGACTGACCATTTGGAAACTTGGGCACTGCCCGAGGGCCTGGGGTCAGTAGGGGGCCCCATGAGATGCCCCTGGTACCTTTTTCATAGGCTTTTTGGAGTTTGGGCAAGGACACAGGGGCCCCATGATCCCCTATTGCCCAGGGGCCCCATGAGTTGTCAGTCTGCCCCTGGTCTGACCTTAAACGACTGTGAGAGTTGTCACCTGCATATTTTGTTAGTGAATTTTCTGGTGAAGGCACAACTAGTTTACAAATAGTGTGATCAACATGACTGGGTGTTCTACCCTTGATAATCCAAAAGACAAGTGACTATTGTTTTTTCAGGAAAACATATATAAACTGTATATCTCTGTATGATAACCATGGTCACCTAGGAACAGAGAGGACTTTCAGATTAGTGAGAAACCAGTTTTATTGACCCTGCACAGTTACTAGTACTCTTCTCTACGCTGCATTGAGAAGAAAACTTTGACCCCCAGAGCTGCCCCAATAAACCACCTCAAATGTCAAGGACCCATGGAGCTGGTGTGTATTGATTTCCGGTGCCTGGTAAACATAAGCTAGCTTACCTGTGTAGAACCAAGCCCTATATCATTTGCAAACAATTGTCTAATGTGCCAGTGTATCAGATTTGCCCAGAGGGGGAGATGGGGCACTGGAACCCTCCTCTGCCTCTGAGTGAGGCTGTTTGGGTGTCCCCAGCAAACTGAGCAATTGGCAACTATCTTACGCTTGCCAAGACAAGGCCTGATACTCAATCACAGTCATATTCCCTGCCAGAGAAAATGTCTGTATGGATGGGTTGTGGCCAGTTGAGTCAATGGATGCCACTCCATGTCCATCAGGCTTCTTTGGGGACTCTCAGGCCTGATGCCCCTGAATTTGTGCCTCAGACCCAAAACAAGAAAGACAGAAGGAGACTTCTGTTGAAGAAGAAATAGAGATCCCTCAGCCAGCCCCCAAAGCTGATGAAGGGCTCCCAGAAAAAGGCCTATCCAAATCAAAGAAACAAAACCAAAAGTTCGTCACATCCTCTTTAAAGACTGGCATATGACTCCCTTGACCAGAGTTCAAAAGAAGCTTTGTCCACAGCTCGAATATCACAAATGATACTGGTTGTGTCTGTGATGGCTTTGGTGGAGAAATACTCTGGAATGTCTTCTGACATATTATGGTGGGAGGTCTCTGCATGATATGTTTAATAGAAAAAGTACACCCCAACAGATTTGTCAGAAAACTTTTACTTTCCTTTTAGATTCAACATTTTCTATAGGACACTACACTACAAAATACTCCCACAAATGTGGGCCACTGATTGCCAACAAGATTTGTTAATTTGCACACACAAAAAAGAATTTTTCCTAACAAATTCATTCAAGACAATGTTGCAAAAATAAATACACCCCAATGAAAGTCTTAGGAGCAAAGCTAAATTTTAGACAACAAAATCCTAAATAACAAGAAATCAACTACAGGTGAGTCTAGTTATTCATTAACAAGGTGTCCAGCGGACAGTTGATTATAAAAGGGTGTTACTTAACAAAGAAAACCCCTTCCTATTTCATACTGTCATTAATGGCACCGCATGGAAGAGAAATGTCACAAGGCCTGAGAAAGAAAATAATTTCTTTACACAAGAAAGGTGAAGGCTACAAGAAGATCAGCAAAGCTTTACTTAATAGAATACTGTAGCAAAAGTGATACAAAATTTTAACAAAGATGGAACTGCAACCATCTCACAGTTAACACCTAGACAGGAGTGTCTTCTGATGAGGAGGGTTAATGAAAATCGCCATGCAAGTTCACTGCAGTTAGCTAAAGAAGTAGAAAGCCAAACTGGGGTGATTGTTTCCTGTGACACAATACGGCGTACACTGCAGAGGAATAGCATGCATGGGTGTCATCCACAAAGGAATCCTTTCTTAAAGCCCTTGAACAAATAGCCCAGCTAGAATTTGCCAGGGTCCATGATGAAAAAGAAGAAAACTACTGGTACTCTACTCTGGAGTGATGAGACCAAGATAAATGTTTTTGGAACTGATGGCTTCAAAACTGTATGGTGCAAAGGTGAGGAGTACAAAGAAAAATGCATGGTGCCTACAATAAAACATGGTGGTGGCGGTGTCCTCCTGTGGGGCTGCATGAGTGTTGCTGGTGTCAGGAAGCAGCATTTAATTTCCAACATGACAATGATCCAAAACACACATCTAAGGCCACTGTGCATTTCTGAAGAAGAACTGGATGAACGTGATTCCGTGGCCAAATATGTCTCCTGATCTGAACCCAATCAAACACCTATGGGGAATTCTGAAAGGACAAGTTGAGCATCACTCTCCATCCAGCATCCAGCCTCTAAAAGAGGTTCTTGAAGAATGAAAAAAGATAGATGTTGCAATATGTCGCAAACTTGTTTATTCCATGCCTGGAAGACTTGGTGCTGTCCTTACGAATCATAGAGGTCATACAAAATACTAGATGCAGTAGTTTTTGTTGTGGGGTGTATTCATTTTTACATCAACTAATTTGAGTAATACTGAAGATTTTGTAATCTAAGTTATATTATTAACCTTACTTTCATGTAATAAGCTAAAGAGATGTTCTATAAAACTCAGTTTTGTCAAAAGATATTGATTAAAATCTTATTTATGCTGAGCACTGTATATATATAATTTTTTTAAAGAAGAAATCTTAAATAATGGAATTTGTGAACAGCAGTGCAGTATAATTTGTAAATAGTACACTTTAACTGTAAGCATATTGTTTGCATTGCCTTTAATATATTTCATTAAAGCCAACTCCTAGTTCCTCCAAAATAATAAAGTTTTCATAAAATTTAGGCTGCATAGTCTTTGTACTGCTTTTATTGCTATCTTAGATGAATCACCTAATGCTTGTCATTATAATTCTTTTTTTGTTTTAATTTGTTTTACTACAAGTATGTATTATTAGCTGGAAAAATAGACCATAAAAGTAAACTAGAAAGATAAAGTCACAAGGTAAAATCACAGTGTGGGTCTAATTCTAGTTCTTGTAAATGGAATGTTCTTTAGACCTGATCTTTTTCATTTAGTGATCCATAATATTATTTTATATATGGTCTCTCCTGGAAAGCATGTGCTCGTCCTAAATATATAGTAAATAGTCCAGAAGCCCAAGACTGCTTCAATTATAGGGTCATAACTAAGCTTTCTGTTCTCTGTTTAGGCCCCTGACCAGCTGAGGAAACTCTAATGCTAATCTTAGGCTCAGATGATTTAAGATCAGGCATAACACATGCATGGTACTCTTTCAGTGAAACTGTCAAAGCCATTTAGAACTTCAGACATTTTATTATAAGCCCACATTTGTAAAACATGTAACAAAACATATCTGTGTTTGAAACCTACATCTGGATTGTTGTTATGTTTAACTATGACCCTTGCACAACTATGATGAAAAAGTGTATTCGGCATGCACTGCACTTTGTTATACACATATGCGCAGGTTTTACTGTCTGAAATGGGTAAGAGTTTAGTTACCTGGTAAAAGCATTATGCATAAAAAAATGTTATTCAAAGGAATGCCATAAAGGCACTAAAGGGTTTGATATTATGCATGGAAGAAGAAAACCAAATATTAAAGTTACACATAAGTCAAACAACAAAATACTGTTAAAAGTAACCCAGGAAATCATAGCCTTCCTGCTAAGGGGATAACATTATCATGCTTGTAAATAGTTGGCCCTATTTTCTGAATACCACTGAATTCAAGCCTGAGAAAAATCAACCCAAATTTTTTCTGATTAGTGTCCTTGCCATTTGGCGCACTGAACAGATTGAACCATGCATACCTTCCTAACAATAAAGCATGCAGAGTAAGACCAAGTAGTCCATCCAGTCTTCCCTTTTGTTGGTTGTTTTTTGTTCTGTTTTTTTGTGCGGCCGGGGGGGGGGGGGGGGGTTGTTTGGTTTTTTTTCTAACTTTTTAAGCATTTTGTCATCTAGTATAGATCTGTGCTTCACAAAGATGCAAAGAGAGAAAAACACACATCAAGTGTTGTAGGAAAAGGAAGCCACCTTCAGGTGAAGGGCATGGACCTCTTAAACTTCATTTCATTTGAGGTTATACTTTAGGTGTGCTGCTTTCTTCCGACTGTGTAAATCTTTAATTCTAAATGACAGAATGGAAAAAAGGGCACAAGAACCTTGAGCATTACCTCAAAGCAATGTATTTATTAACAGAAGTGCAAAAAACATATTCACAAAAGCCAAAAACTGGAGGAAAGTGCAAAACTAATGTCAGAAAGTACTATTTTACTGAAAGAGTAGTTGATGCTTGGAATAAACTTCTAGCAAAGGTATTGAGCCAGTCAACAGTAAATATCTTCAAACATGCTTGGACAAGCATAGATCTTTATTAAGACAAAAAAAGTTAACAACCCCCCCCCTCCCCCCCCCCAAAAAAGCAAAAAACACAAAAATGCCCACAAAAAAAAAACAACCTCCCTCCCAAGAAAACACAGACCCACACACACAAAAAACAGGCAGACTCTGCCATCACTTTTCTATGTTTCTATGTAAAAATGGCTATATACATTATAGAGTGAACCAACTCTCAGTACCAACATCAGACAAAGATGTGGATATCCGGCATGGAGGTCCATGCCCCACTCTGCAACAGACACAAAGGCTAACAAGTTTCGAGGGGCATACCCTTTTCCTCAGAGGAAGAGGGAATGCCCCTCAAAATGCATCAGCCTTTGCATCTGTTGCGGAGTGGGGCCCAGACCTCCATACAGGATGTTTGCATCTTTGTCTGATGTTAGTACTGGGAATTTGTTCATTCTATAACGCCTATAGCAATTTTGGCTTTTCTGAGTAGGTTTTTTGCACTTCTTTTAATAAATATATATTTTTAAGTCTTTATTTTCAGTTTTACAAACACAATAAATAAATTGTTTTGAGATAATGCACAAGGCTCTTGCACCCTTTTTTCCATACAAAAATGTGTTTGCCCAAGCATGTTTAAATTCACTTACTGTTGAATGACCCACTACCTGTTTTTTGCACTTGTTTATTAATAGAAGTGCAAAACCCACACTCATTCCTCTGAGGAAGAGTGTATGCCCCTCAAAATGAGTCAGCCTTCGCATCTGTTGCAGAGGCTCCTGCACTCTTTTTTGCCATAGAAATCTGTGTTTGCCAAAGCATATCGCTTAGTGTTGACTGACACACTACCTCTGCTGGGATTCTGTTCCAAGCATCAACTACATTTTTG